ATTCTGCATGCTAAAAATAAATGAACTGAAGTTCCTGTTTTCAGGATCTCTCCCTTCAGACTCAGCTACATCGAAAATACACAAAGAAGCTTTTAAGCTTCTTATGTTCCTACTGTTTATTCCTATTTTCTCCTAGAGACCCATTTCTTTTCCTGGAGTGGAAATTTTCTCTATTTTCTTATATTAAACCCCACTGATAAGATAACCTCCAAGGAATATTAGATGTTAACAGGCTAACAGGATGACTGTGGTTGATTTTTTTAAATTAACTTTATTGAGATATCATTTTTCTATAAGATTCACTTTCAGGCATATAATTTTATGGGTTTTGACAAACGTATACAGTCCTGTAAAAACTCTCAAGATCATACCGAACATTTCCATGATCCCCACCCCCATGTTGCCATGTTCCTCTTTATGGCCAAATCCCTTTCCCACAATTCCTAGCCCAATCTATCACTATCCTTTTGGGGTTTTTTTTTTCTACAAGTTCACCTAAATAGAAGCATATGGGAAGTATCTACTTCTAGCTTATTTCAATTAACATAATGCTTTTTTAAAAAGTGTACAGGTCGTTGCCTGTCCCAGGACTTCACTCCTTTTCATAGTTGAGTGGCATTCCATTATGTGGCTACTGCACATTTGCCAATTCGCCAGCTAATAGATATTTGGTTCTTTGTAGTTTCTCCTGTTATCATGGTTAGTAAAGCCACATCGAACATTCAGGTACAAGTCTTTGGAAAAACATATGTTCTCGTGGGTCAGAGAGCAAATGTAGGTTTAACTTTATATAAAAAAACTTTATATTGTACACTGGAGCCTATTCCTGAACGGATTTGCTTCAATTCCTCAAAGAAAAGAAAAAAAAAAAAAAAACCTCCACCCATAACAATTCAAGTTCTTGATGCCACTGAACAATACAAATCAGAAGTAAGGACAGATTCACCTGTTGATGCCAAACACTCACCATGGGTGTGACACCAGAGAGGAGAAACAGAGCGCACAGTCTGAGGAGGGACCGGTTACGGCCCTTCTACACGAGTCTATGTGCTGGGAGTCCTAAAGGGCAGTAGTTTCGACCCCCGCTCTCCAAAGTGGGGTCCATGGAGCAGTAGTGGCGTCACCTGGGAACTCGGCAGAAATGGAGAACCGCAGCTCCACACCCCGGAGCCACCGGGTCAAGTCGGCCCTTCCACGGGCCCCCAGGTGATGTGTGTATCTGAGAAGCACCGACGGAGAAGGTCCGAGAAAGAGGCTACGTCCCACAGAGGCTCAGGGCTGCCTAAGGAAGGGTTTTTGAGAGGAACTGGAAGCTCATCCTAAGTTCCTCGCTATCTCTTTTAAGTCTTTTGGACTTGACCTTTGGGGTTTCCACCCAACAGAATTTTCTCTGCAGAAACCAGTCAGAGTGTCTCTGAAATACGCGGCTCTGAGAAGAGTTGCCCGCACATTCTAGGGATTATCTGTGGCTGCCCCGTAAATTCCCTCAACACGTTCATTCCTGTACTGCTGTCAGCCCGATCCTTCCCCTTGCTACCACTATCGCCCCGATACTCCCGGCATTTGGGGAGGAAACAGAGAGGACGCACACCTCAAGCTGCAAGGCCCAGAAGGGCCCCCGGAGCCACGGCCCGGGCCTTGCCGACGGCCTTTCCAGTCATCGCTCTTCCCAATTTGAAGCCGGGAACCACACACCTTAGAGCTGGAAAGAGCTCGGGGCGCGCTGACGGAGGAAGGTCTGGTGTCACCATATGGTAGAAGAGGCGGCCAGGACTTAGACAGGGTCGCCAGCTTGCCACAGGGGACCTCACTCACAAGACGCAGCAGGACGCTTGTACGTGGCCTTCCCTCCAGCACAATTCCGGTCTCATGGGGGGCGCACGGGAACAATCCACCAGTCTCCGTCTTGACGTGGTCCTCTCCAACCTCCACAGTTTCCAACTCCCCAACCACCTCCTTGGGGTGGCCCGTCACAGGCCTGGGCCCCCCCCACAGTCTCTGCCCACACCTCCAGCTCACCTCCTCCTGAGCACACGCGAATGGGGGTGCGCTCAAGCTCTTCTCTCAAATCAGCGCTGCCTCCTAAACCCACGTGCCCATTTCTTCTCAGCTTCTAGCAATGATCTCTAATCTCTCTTCTCTTTAAAGCAACCCCTGTGCTGCACCTGGTGTAAGAATCGTCCAAGCCCAGCTCTCATCTTGTCACCCACCCCACAGGAAAGCCTTCAGTGGCTTCCCACCGGCTGCCCTACCAACGTAAAATCATTTGGCCTGGCATTTCCTTCCATGATTGGTCCTTGCATCTTCTCATCTCCCCCTCCATGGAATCTATTCTTTGCAGGGAGCAGCGTGATCAGGTGTTAAGGTTGCCTGCACGGCATTCCGCCCCTGTGGGTTCGAGTCTCAGCTCGCCATCTCTGACCAGTTATAGGACCCTGGGAAGTGGGCAGCCCCGGTGGCTCAGCGGTTTAGTGCCGCCTTTAGCCCAGGGCCTGATCCTGGAGGCCCGGGATCGAGTCCCACGTTGAGCTCCCTGCGTGGAGCCTGCCTCTCCCTCTGCCTGCACCTCTGCCTCTCTCTGTGTGTCTCTTGTGAATAAACAAATAAAATCTTTTTAAAAAAAAAAAAAAGAACCCTGGGAAGTTGTTTAACCTCTTTATAACTCGGTGTCCTCAGCTGTCAGGTGGGACTAACACCACCCGACAGAGCTATTATAAGCGGTAAATATAAAGCAGTTATGTAAAAGTCTGGCACATGGTAACGTCTCTCCTAATCTTGTTCTCATTCTTCTCTTAAAACCAATGAAATATTAACTGCCCGTATACCAAGCCCTTACTGAAAAGCGAACTTTGTAACATCCTGGCAAGGACCCTAAGGAACCAACGACGTTAGGCTAACAATAGCCTTAAAACATCAAGCATCCACCACCACGCTAGCTATTTCCCCACATCCATTTCAACATCTCAGGGTATCTGTGATAGAAGACTTACTCATCTGCTTCTGAATAAAAAATGAAAGGCATCCCAGTCGTAGTAGTGATCCATCATCAGCAAAACTCACGCTAGAATTAGACCCCATTCCCGGCTGTAGAAGCTACACCTTTTTATGCTTTTCATAATAAAACTGCTCTGGAGTTTAAGAAACCAACAACCCGGACGTGTAACCAGCACGCCAGATTTATGTCTTGATGCAAGAAATAAAATCAAGAACTCTGCAAAGAACTGGAGTGACAGTTGCATCTTACACCGCAATACTGTTGAGGATTCAAAAACTGCATTCTAGACCCAGAAAGCAATGCCAAGGTCAATCGGCGATGCCTAAGACGGGAAGGATGAAGAGCTGAGGGTCGGTAGCCCTAGAGAATGGGAGCAGAGACTGAAACGCTGCAACAGATGGCAATAGAAACAGTTTAAATGTTCTGAACACTTACATAATAGAGCTGTTCTAAATATTTTACATATGTGATTCTTTTAAACCCTCAAAACCACCCTTTAAGAGAGAGACTACTGTCATCTCTACCACCGAGATGGTGACGCTAAAGCACAGAGAAATTATAACGTACACAAGAATCCCCAGGTAGTAAGGGGCAGGCACACACCAGAACCCATGCCCTTCACCACCAGGCTGCAACGACTCGGAATATTTCCATCCGATGCCGGAAGATGTAGACTAGCAGGCAAGACAGTTCTGCAAGTCACCAAGATGACTACATCTCGGGTTCCACTAAATGAAGATACATCTGGCCGTAAGAAACCTGAAGAGCCGGCCCTATGTCCAGCCGATGTTTGGGGTGTTCAAGAGGTTTGCAGGCTCAGCAGCTCATGATGCTAGGGAAGGGCTTTGAAACCACTCATGAATAATCTTGGTGCAAGGGGTGAAGAGATTCCCAACGACCAAATCCCAAAACCACTGTGAATGTCCCAATTTGCCAGTACCACTCAAGCATACGGCTGTCCTTCACAAAAACGAAACGTAACATAACCCGTTTGCTTGTAGAATAACTACGTTCTGATGAACCTTAACAAATCAGAAAGACTGTAGAGAGGCATGGGTAAAACGTGGAGCTGATTCCTGATGGATATCTTTGAGCTCCAGAGCTTCCAGAGCTTTCTCAGAATAAAGTTATGAAGTGAGGTTTTAAATGTGTACGTGGGTTCCAGGAATGGTAAGGAGGCTATCCCTAAACATTATACTAAGGTACTTCAAAAACACTATTATTAACTGCAGCACTTAAGGACAGCGAGGAATTAGAGTTCATTCTATGGAGAACACAAGGCCCAGAGAGGGCAAGCGTCTAGCCCAAGGTTACACAGCTTGTTAACAGCAGTTTCTACAATAGCTGTGATGTGTGTAATGTTCTAGTTTTCATTTCAGCGTTTTTTACTCTTTCACTTCCAAATTGGTCTATAATAGTCCCAAAGAAGATCTATTCACATTGAGAATAAAAATAATGTTTAAGGGGCATTCAGCTGGCTCAGTCAGAAGAGCATGCAACTCTTGATCTTGGGGGCAAGAGTTCTAGCCCCACACTGGGTATAGTGATTACTTAAATAAACTTTACTAATAATAACATTAATAACCTCTATAGCTCAACTTTGGGATATGCTGATGACTCACTGGTTACATGAATAGTCTCAGGGACCCTCTGGCCATATGTTGAACTAGTAAGAGATAAATTTATAGGCATTTTAAAGTTATTTGCTAGGGGCGCCTGGGTGGTTCCGTCGGTTAGGCATTTGCCTTCGGCTCAGGTCACTATCCCAGGATCCTGGCATAGAAACCCACGTCGGGCTTCCTGCTCAAGCAGGGAGCCTGCTTCTCCCTCTCCCTCTGCCTGCTGCTCCCCCTGCTAGTTCTCTCTCTCTCTCTCTAATAAATAAATAAAATATATTTTTTTAAAAAGGCACCTGTTAGAGTTGGCAACGTTGCATGAGAACATTTCAAGGGTTCAAGCTCACAACTAAGAAGTCTGAGACAGTGGTAGTGTTGCCTTTGCTTACCTGCACTTTTAGAAATCTGTTTCCCAAAGGCGCTCTGCTCCTGAAGGTGAAGGATGTGATGTGGTGAGGGTCCCAGAGGCCCAGGAGCCTGGCTGCTAAAGTGTTGGAGTCTCTCCACAGGAAATAACCCAAGATAAAGGGTTGTGCTGCTTCTTCACTTGCAAGTGCTGAAAGAAAACACAAAGGTAGCATGCTTATTAAGAAGGGATCTAAGTGCCCACGAAAAACTTTTAAGCCATTAAAACATTTTTAATGACTACATCATTTTAGTAAACTCACTTCTGACCCCTCCCAAAATACTCGACAGGATAATGAAATTACCAAAAACAAGACAAAAAAAAAATTCCAAGAACAAAACCAGCAGCATATATTACATTACTATCATTCATGACTGGTTAGCCACGGGATCCAGCTCAGTCTCCTTGAGGAAAAAAACAAACAAACCCATATCCAGCTCAATTAATCCAAAACAACCTGGTAATGAAAGAACCATCTGTCTTATTTTTCAGCTTCTCTCCACACATACACACAGCTTTATTGTTAAATGCAGAGGTGAGAGAGGAAGCTGTCGCTCTGAAAACCCTCCGAGGAGGAAGGGAAGGGAGGCAGGAAAATGAGGAGGAGGTCAAGGATGAAGATATCTAGGAGACAGTGAGGGGAAAGGAAGCATGGAGAAATCAGAAGAACAACCAGTAAGAATGTGCTGTGGGCTACTTTCTCAAAAACACTTTGAAAAAAGTCTCAAATTGCTCTTGTTATGGCTTTCCTTACACAAGACGAACCCTGGTACAAAAACAACAAAAATTGCACGCTCTGCACTTGTGTTAGTAGAAAATGTTATTCTAAAAAAAATTTGTAGGAAACAAATATAAGAAAACAAAAACCAACAAAAATACGGCAAATACTCTATTTTAGAAGCCACTATGAACTTGAATGCCCTCAATCAGGGGATAATTGGGCTTAACTATTATGAAGATCAAACGACATGGAAAAATCTTTAGAATCTACCAAGAAGGAATTTTTTAAAAGATTTTAATTATTTATTTGAGAGAGAAAGTGTATGCGCATGCACACGAGGAGGGGGTGGGGGGAGAGGCAGAGGGAGGAGCAGACTCCATGCTGAGTGGGGAGCCCTGCTGAGTGGGGAGCCCGATGTGGGGCTTGATCCTGGACCCGGGGATCATGACCTGAGCTGAAGGCAGATGCCTAACAGACTGAGCCACCCAGGAGCCCCAAGAAGGAAAAATTTTAAAAGCTGAGAACACAAAAATTAGTTCTATGAGTAAGACGGATGTGTGTCTGTGACAAATTCCCGAAAGACCCTAAAGAAAAAATGAAATCTGATGTGCTGAGTTGTAGATTACAGGGAATTTTTTTCTTTGAAATTGAAAACTTATTATAGAGACACAAAAATGCTTATTTTCACATTTGAAATGCCAAGTCGTTGATGCATTTAGAAATGAGAAGAAAGGCCAAGTGGTGCTCTTTAGGAGTTATTATAATGGAAGACTCTACCGTGCTGCAGAATTTTGAGCCTAAGGAAATTATGGATAATTATACACCTGTGCTTCAGAATCAGTCTCCCCAAACACAGAGATAAGTGCAGCTCCTGGTTTCCGTCATCTTCTGCCCACTAGTACTTATCACCAGCTGAAGTAAAGGAGAAATCACAAATTTGAAGTTAGAAGGGTCCTTTAAAATGATCTAGTCTGAATATTTGATAAAGAAACCCCAAACAATAACGTGCCAGGACTGGCTCGGGGGATGGGGACTTGGTTACCCCTGGAGATGCTTAAATCAAGGGAGGAAACAAGGTCGCCCATTCTCCTGTTTGAATGACCCCCATGAAGAAGAGGCATCAGCCGGGTTCTGGAGGCTTGAGGAGGGAGGAAGAGGGGCAAGAGGAGGGGACGCTAGGCCAAAGCCGGGAAATGCGATATTCAAGGAGTTAGGTTTGAGCTCAGTAGGAGAGAACTTGCTAATATTTGGGTTGCCTAAAGATAATACAGGAAAGATAACACAGGTGGCATGGTTGGATAATGAGTCACTTGTTACTAAAGATACCCTGTTCTAAAAACCACTTGGGAGCCATTTGGAGCTTAACAAACTTAAATGTCCATTGGCATCACTTGAGGATCTTGTTAAACTGTAGATTCTGATGGTGGCGGGGCGGGGGGGGGGGGGGGGGTTGGGGGGGTGAGAATCTGCATTTCTAACAAGCAGCCAGGTGATGCCAAGGCTTCAAGTCAAGAGTGTTAAGGATGTAACTCGATTGGGATGTGATTTAAACCAGTGCTCCCGCCAAGTGCAGTCTTCTAACCACATGACTTCAAAAGCACTCTCCAACCCTGATTTGGGGGCAGATGACTAATAAATAGGTTAAGGGGTAATTAGGGTTTTGTGGGTCCACACGTTCAAAATTCACAAAAGTTTGTATCTTGGTGTCTTGCAGGACCGGCCCCCATCATAATTTTGCACGATGATGCTCATACTTCAAGGCCAAATACTTAAAGCCAAATAACTACATTGTAAAAATGAACTCAGTATTCAAAGATGCAGTTACTTGTTGTTTTTGTTTTTTTTTTTTTAAGATTTCATTTATTTATTCGCAAGAGACACAGAGAGAGGGAGTCAGAGGGAGAAGCAGACTCCATGCAGGGAGCCCAACGCAGGACTCGATCCCGGGTCTCCAGGATCAGGCCCCAGGCTGAAGGTGGCGCTAAACCACTGAGCCACCCGGGCTGCCCTACTTCTGATTTCAGTACAGCACAGTTAACAGAGGAGTAGGATGAAAGGAATATGACTATACGTTTTCCCCAGTGATCTGTGGTACAAAATCACGTGTCTCCAAAGAAAGGCCAGGAGGGGGTAAGCCTCCCAAGGCTACAATTTGTGGCCTTCTTCAATGGAGGGCTTTGCCTTATTTACCTAGCCCTGAAATCTCACCTCCCTACCAGGCATCCCAGTCCTAAAAAATTGCTTCACTGTTTTGAAACTCCCCGTTTCTGGCTCTACTCCCTTATCTAATAAATCTGGACTTTAATTAGTTCAAAATCCTATGTAAGGTCTTTCCTGGAAAAATACGCTAATATCCAAACACAGACCGCCCTTAAGTTCGGAAGCGTTCTCGTGTGTCTCTCCCAGAGTAAATACCCCAACCACTAAGACGGAATCAGTTTCCTGCCTTTCTTCTGACTGTGACAGTCCCCCTTCCAAAGGGATTGCTGTTTCAGTTTGCTTCAAAGTTATAAGTAGCATTCTACCCGATTTATAAAAGCCCTTTTTTTTCAAACTGCTTATTTACTTGTCAGTTAATTCTGAAGGACCCTAGCTTATTCTGCTCCTTGGGAAGTAGCACCTGTTAGTTCCTCTTTTGTTATTTTTAAAAGAAAAAAGTGAGTGAGCCTATGAGAAATCAGATGAACATACCTAAAATCTTAAGATTAAAGTGTCGGAAATTTTTCTGCTTTTATTTTAAAGATTTTATTTATTTATTCATGAGAGACACACACACAGAGAGAGAGAGGCAGAGACACAGGCAGAGGAAGAAGCAGGCTCCCTGCAGGAGCCCGATGCGGGACTCGATCCCAGGACCCTGGGGTCACGCCCTGAGCCGCCCGGGAGCCCCATTATCCTGCTTTCCACAGCACATGGAAATAGGTGATGATAACTTATATTACTGTCCATCAAATGGTTCTCTGAAGCCGGATTCCAAAGATGACGCAAAAATCTTTATAAAGCACCCTTACCCTGGGTATTTGTAATATTATTACAAACCAATCCATGTGATAAGCATTTTTTATGAAATCATATAATCCTAGATTTACTTTCTCATGCTAGTAGGTTAATCCCTTTGGCAAAGTGAATCGAATTTATTTCCTGATAAAATTATTGCTGGATGTCTCCACCTTCTGCAATAACTGTTGATTGAATCAGTAAGTAATTTCTCGACGCCTACGCTACGCCAGATGTTCTAGGCACTGGAGATAAAGTCATGAAGGGAAGACAAAACAAACCACCAGTTCGCCATCCAGGAGAGGGGCAGATATTAGCCAGCAGTCCCCAGGGCACCGTTCGGTGACAACCGCGGTCTGGCCGGGACCGGGCCCAGGTGGGGAGGACAGGGAGCTCCTCGGAAGAACCTGGCGGGGGGGGGGGGGTCTCAGAGAACTCCACTGAAGGGTTAGCCAGATGAAAGGGGTAAGAATGATAAACCATTGCAGGCCACGAAAGAGCACTTGCAAAGATTCTGAGGTGGGGACAAAAGCTTGACATCGAGGCCTTGAGGCCTCCGACACGAGTAACGCGGGCACGGTGACCGCTAATCGCTGCCACACGCCGTCTACACGCACTGCTCTGTCTTCTGCTGACTTGACATTGCTTAGCCATCACTTCTAGCAGAATATAAAGATAACTTCAGGATTTTATCAATATTTGCAGCTGGGCGACCCTCGTTCCACAGCTAGGGACACGGAAGGCAACTCGTCCAGGGCCTCAGAGCTCCAAGGGGGCGGGCCGGGTCAGCGCCAGGCCGGCGGCTGCGAGGACTCCCAGGGGCCGGTGACCGGAGCTGCCCCCTTCGGGATTCACTCTGTCCCTGGGGGGGCATCGTGACGCAGAAACGGATTAGGGCCGCGGCAGTGTCGCTCCCGGAGTCTGCACCTTCCTGGCGGGAACCGCTTTCGTTAGGAAGCAGTGCATGGGAGTGTATCACAAGATGCGCATCGAAATCCAGAGGTTAGTATTAAAAGCCCGCGAACCCATTCACTGGGGTAACTATCTTCTCGGGGTTCTGTTTTTAATTTTTGTGATGCACGTTTATCTTCCCCTCCCTGTCCCTGTTCCTCTTCTCCCAGGAACCACCAGGATCATGACTTTGACAGGGAGCCAGTCCCCTTTTTATTCGCAGGCCCACATACGCAGGCGCACACATTCATAAATATTATATGGTGTGTGCTATTGTTTTAAGTGATGCTGCACGTTTGCATAACAAATATGTAATATTCTGAAATTTGTGTTGTTCACCCTACCTGTTAGGTTTTGAACTCCCCCTATACTGATGTGCTGCAGAAAGGTCTGGCTCCTTCTTTTCAAGTTCCGTAGAATATTCTACTGACCAAACATATCGCAAAGTTACCCACTCCCTACCGGCAGACATTTAGGTTGC